TTCTATCATTCATTCATTCATTCATTCATTCATTCATTCATTCATTCATTCATTCTCATATATATATATATATGATAGAAACAACTTAAAATACTCTGCTTGGTATCTTTTACTAATTACTATACATACTCATATTATACATACATATACATACTCATATTAGTATGTATGTGTGTGTATGTGTGTGTGTGTGTGTGTGTATATATATATATTATACAGTGTACACACACACACTATACAGTAGGTAAATATTTCATTTCTGACTTCCCTCTTCTTTGTACTCCAACTGATTTGCAGTACCTGTTGAGAATGTTAATGACATTTGAATTATTTTTTTATCTCAATGTCACCTGCTGCTGATGCATCATTACAAGGTCAAGGGTGCCTCTCAGATTTTCAGCTCCCCACAAAAAAAAAAAAAAAAAGGGACAGCCTTATTTTAAAGGGATTCTTACAGCCTGAATTGGCTAAGAATTTATCTATCTGCAAATCCAGACCATGATGGTTAACAAAAGCTGTTAACAGTAACAATACAATTCAACCCACAGTAACCAGTGTCATAAAATTATTATAATAAATAAGAAAGATACAATGCATCAGCATAAAATGGGATGGCAAAGTTTTAGGCAGTGTTCTAGACAATGCAGTTCAAAGATGATGCTCACCATTATAGAGAGAACCTCCTTCAGCATATTCCATTACAAGACATACCTAATGAGGAAAAAAGCAAAAGCAAAAGTTAGAAGTGTTTAGCATTCTTATGAAATGCTCCCATCTTAATATAGCAATATATAGTTCTGTTTTAATCCTGAGACTATGCAGAAATAGCTACATGTACAGTGTTGATTAGAGCTGTAATTGCTCTATTTTTCACTTCTTCTTTTCTGCCTTATTTATGCACACAAATGCTTATGCATATTAACACTTATTAAAAATCCCCATAATACTCTTGTGTTCATCTATAATATGTTTCAACAATTAACATTTATGCATGCTGATAAATAAATTTTAGAAGTTCTTCATTTAAATTAGAACCAGAATAGAGTATAGCACACTGAATCAAACCCATGGAACAAAGATGGGATGGAAACTGGGAAACCTGTTTACTTCAAACTGAATGCAAAAGGTATGCTTTTCTCATAAATGAAAATGGGAAAAATTCAATGTAGAATTTGTAAACAAGCCCAATAAAACTAAAACAGACAGATATTTCACTTAAAGAAACAGACTGCAGAGTCCAAAAGCTGCTACTTACTGGATTCAAACAAGCTCCATATAACTTGACGATATTAGGATGATTCACACGTGACAACTGTCGAAGCTGAAATTTTAAAAAGCAACGTATTTAAAGGCTCTTACATAAAGCTTTTCTTTGTATAACTCATCATAAAAACTAGTTAAATGATGTATAATATTCTGCACGCATATAGAAAAGAGCTGCACTTCAGTTCCGTGTTTAAGTTACTCAGAGCTGCACTGGCTACCTTTTTAAAAGAACTTCTGAAAGGTGCTTGGTCAAATTGCCACTCTTTAACTGGGCACGTTTATGATAATTCATCAGATGTGACTGTTAAGTACTTATGATGATACTACCTTGATTTGCATTTTAGTTCAACATTGTTCCCTGTGACCTTTTGGCTGCTACTGATCCAGTCTTTATGCTGGGAGCGTACCATAGCACCAGGATATAATTATCAGGTTCTATACCTGATTCCAGAAATGTGTTTATCAAGTCTGTCTTGGGATAATTGTTTAGTACAACTGCTTCATAAATTACAGCATCACATAGAAAGCCTCTCCTACATCCACAAATTTCCTGCAGAGAACTTGGAAGGGCAGGAATCCTTGGCTTCTTGTCAAGCAGAAATGACAGACCACATTCCTTCCTCTCAAGGGCAGGTAATTTCAAGACAGGAGGGTTTGCCTTTCACTTCATTCAGTACTTCTGATTCTGAGCTTCTGCAAGCTCAAGCACAGAGCAAGTGACTGAACTAGGCACCTCTCAGACTTCCAAAAGATTTAAGGAAGGCGCATACTTCATTCCATTACTTTCTGATGAACTTTGGAGGCACTGAGAGCAGCAAAAATTCTTCTCACTGTTTTTGAGGATTTAAACAAAGTTAAGGATTGATTCTTGTCTTCTATAAATGGAGAAAATGTAAACTATGGGTCCCTATTGTGGCTGGAAGAAAAGAAATAGTAAGACATCAGTTTTGACTTACAAAAATTCAAGTGAACATTATACATAGTCAGATCAACTTGCAAACAGCATTTGTGTTGTGCTGAAGCTGAATTTGTAAGCTTAAGATGCTAACAAGTGACAAGTGCCTTAAATCCAGCAAGTTGCTTCACATGATTCAAAATAAACCTTTACATAGTTGACTTAATGTTACATGTGTATATATGTATTAGAGTTGTGCAGCGCTTCAGTTATGAAAGCAAAAAAAATGTTTTAAAGGAGATGGAACTACAGACCCTATTTGCAACTCCTTAAACCAAGAATACCTGTGTCTTTTCTGTTGCAGCACCTGCCCTCTGGAATGATATCCCCGCAGAGATCCAGATGTGTCATGTTCAGGAAGTTATTAAAGACCTAGTTATTCCCCCAGACTTTAGGACACAACAAAGGTTGAGCCCCTGCTGGATATATTTTCTTTTGTTATATAGTATATTATTTCTGGGTCAATTCATCATTCTTTTTTGTGTTTTGTTTTTACTTTTTAAATGTAAGCCATTCAAAGTTGCTGGAACTTGGGCAGCCTGTAAATTGTATATATAAGTATTTTCCCAGGATCCCAGAGCAGGCAGCTGTACAATCCATAGAAAGGATATAGCCATAACTGCTCTAAGGAGTTGCAGACAGGTGCTATATTTCCACCTCTGCACATCTTGAAACACTTTTTGCTTTCAAATCCAAAGCACAGCATAGCCCTAATTCTTTCAGAATATTAACTGTATGGCATGATAATAGAGTGCACATTAGTATTAGACAGAAAGAAACAGTATTTATTACCTAGCTTTAAGTGTAAGAGGTATACATTAGTACTGCCCATCAGAAAGTTCTGCCCTAAAGGTCAACCTAAACATATTCAATTTTTATTTATTTAATGTATTTTTAAATAACACCTTTGCTCAATAACTCATTTAGCAATAACACTATAAAAATACACTAATTTAAAACATCTAAAGTCAAACCAGGTTTTATGGAAAGGAGGTAGCTCACTCATAGATATTAAGCGGTATACAGACAATATGATTTATTCCTGGTGGATAAGCTGCTCAAACAATTTCAGGTATCTCATGGGTGATCATAAATGGAGTCACTGAATAAATGACATTTGTTATTGATAATATATATAAAATACTCTATGTTTCATGTTCATAAATTCTGTGAAAATTAATGACAAATGTTCAGTTCTAGGAGAGGATTGATCTCTGCACATATGGAAAATAAAAGGGGAAATATTAATTCAATTGACAGAACACTACTAATCTAACTGAGGTAGCTTGCAGTTATTTGAGTCCATGTTGAGATCACTTACAAAATATCCCTCAACTGAGAAAGAACTTAGGGAGCCTGCAGTTCAGTGATCTCTTGAACTGTGCTTGCCAGCTAACTCTCTTACCCATACCTGAATTCCTTCCAAAAACACAATATATAAAAAATCATCCCCTGTATAAATCCATGAATAAAATAGCAGTACTAATTGCAGCTTACAGACAGTATAATTTTCACTGTACATCTTTTTTTAAAAAATATTGTGGTACCTATTAGATTCATTTGAACAAATTCTAAAGTGAAATTATACCTCTACAATGAAGGCTTTTCGTTCAGATTCGCTTTCTATTTGCTTAATGGCCACATCTTTTCCCCGCCATTTTGCTTTGCAAACTACTCCAAAGGCTCCTCGTCCAACAACCTAAATAAAAAGGCAATTGGAGATTTTGAAGTAACTATCAAAAACAACTTGCACTGCCTCCACTAATCCTTTTAACATTCTAGAATGTCATACAAAAATACATATTTATATTCTGTAAAAGGCCTGTACAACTTATAACTCATCAACATTGAAAAGCTCTTCACTATAGCCTGCCAGGTGTTTGGCAACTTCCAGTTTCTGTAGTCCAAGGCAGGCAAAAAAAATCATGAAGTTTTACTTAAGCTTTTATACACTGCTGATGGGCTGAATAACTTGCAGGATTCTGTTAGGAGGTCTAGAAACATATACGAAAAGAAACTTAAAAGAGGAACAATCTGGAAATTTATGAACCAAGGCCTTTTCCTTCCCTCCTATCCATAGCAGTACAGAAGCTTAACACAAAAATATCTAATTACTGGTAGCCACTGTTCACTGTGGATCAAACTGTATGCATATGGAAAACTGCAACTCATAATGTGAAATTAACACTATATTCACATTTCATACTAAACTAAGGTTTAAGCTTAATTTATTGAGCAAGCAATAGTGGCCTGGTTCTCACGTCATACAAAATGAAATCCAAGTTAGTATGATGTGTGTACCTAGCCACCATCTCATACAGCCCAGATAGAAAAGTTAAGTCCCACTGAGTTTAATGAGATATACTCACCAAAAATATCTCATAGGGATGTGTCTTTACAACAAAAGGAGCATCAGACTTGACACATCAAAATATATGGTCCATAAGAGCTTTTGCTATACAAATTAAAAGGATTTTATTGGGAATACCATTATTATAAAGCCTCATAGGCTTTTTTTTTTAAATGTAGTATAACTACATTTTTCTAAGATACTATTTCCTCATATGGGTTCAGTTGATACTAACATTTCCAAATTCAATATAGAGAAGGTACTACAACTGGCAAACAGAAGTTATAGGGCTATATATATTTATTTAAAGCATTTCTTAGCCAGCTTCTGAATCTGTGGTAATTTAAAGTGATTTATAATACAAACATATAATTTTAACAACATTAACAGTGTAAGTTAACAGTATAGGCTGCAAGTTTTAACAGTGTTAAAATCAGCCAAATCTGTACCTTTTAAAATAACAGTATATAAGAAAAGCTTTTTTAAAAAAAAAATCCAAGTAGACTATTTTACGTAGAAATTGCCCATATGCAGTATTGTTGATCACGGATGGCTTTTTTATGTCAGTTATGAATTCCAAATTACTGTACAGTGTTTTAAAATACTTACTATCAGATCTGCACAGTGCAGCTTATCTTTAAGTGTGACTTCACACGCATGAATGGATATTTACACCATTACTAAAGACTTCCTTGGCATCACTTTCCTTGTAGAAAAGGGATTTGGAGGTACTGATCAGATCTGTCTGAAAAAACATCTACTCATATATAGCTTTGGAATCATTTTGAATTGGATGAAACCAATATGCAAATATATATTTAAGCAGTTCCCACTTATTTCAGTAGGACTTAAAAATTCTATCTTAGTTATGAGAGTTTATCCCAGGTGATTTTCGAAATTCTATTGGCAATGCATGATCTATAAATTTCTGTTTGGCCATTTAGTTCCAGAGGTTTTTTATTTTTCCTTAGAGGCAAACAACTGTTTTTGCTCTTATTACATTAAATATAACAGGCTTTTCTTGAAAAAAAATTACAAGTTTTAGTTATATGCTGCAAAAAACTGCAAGATGAAACCATTTACATGATATGAGCTGTGACTATTTAAGGCAATATGCAGTTTTTTGGTCTGCTCAATCATACCATATGGCAATTTGCAACAGGTTACCTTCAAAACTAGGTTTTAGTACAAAGGCTTGGCCCTGGCACTTAAATAAAGTGCAGTGGACATGTGGTTTTGCTGCATTATTTCAAGTCCATTTTCCTCTCACACTGAGACAGTAGAGATTCACTATTACGCAGTGAGCTTCCTAAGTGTGAATTTAAACCTAGGTCTCTCTGTCCTGAGGCCAACATTTCACACTTGTGGCACTGCCCTATCCCGAATATCTTTTTATCACCAGTGAGAAGAACTGGCTTTGTGCCCATCTCAGGGGACAATTGAGAAAAACCTAGCGTCATGGCATCCCTAAGCTGTGGCACTTCTGCAAAGCTACCTTTCTTCAAAAGACATTCCCAATATACAGAGTAGACATTTCTACCAAGTCAGGACCACAGATACACACATACATCCCCAAACGAAGTTTCTTCGACGTATAGGAGTTCCTCCAGCAGAGTTATGTCTAGGACCCCAATGACAAGCTTCCCCTCCCTCCCACCACTGCAGACCCTCCCTGGGGCACTCACCTCTTCCACCTCAATTTCTTTGTAGTCGATTTCTTCGAAGTTGAGCACCGGGGGGGTTTCAATCATGTCCACGGAGCTGGGAGAAGACATGCCTTCCCTTCCCACGGGGTGTAAGCGGGGGGCGCGTCTGACGGGGGACGGGGCGAAAGGGACCCAGGCGGACCGCGAGGGGCTCTCCTCGCCAGCCTGTGTCTCCAGCCCCTCTGCTCAGCAACCACCACAGCAGGGGAAGGAGAGCCGCGCGGAGACACCACCTGGGCGGCGGAATAGCCGCATACGAGGCTCTTCCGCCCGGGCTTT